TACTAAAATCATCTGATTAATGGGTTTTCTTCTCTTTTCTTTTTTTTAGCAAAAAAAACCTGTGATAAGAAAGAAAAAGTATTGATCAATAAAATAATGTAATAGAAAGTATTTGTACTATCCTTACCTTTATTTTCAGTTAGAGATGTGATACCATCATGTTTCATTTGAAATAACTACCATGCAGGAAATGTTCTTAATTGCACAATTGCGAGCAGTTCAGCCAATTGTCAGCTACTTCATTTTGAAAGAGTTATAACTGTTAACATAAAACTGTCAGTTTACTAATTAGGCTGGGCACTCTTAAAGAAAAATTGCATCTCTAAGAAACCACTGTAAATCAAACCAGTAGGTTCAATCCAACAAATACTCAAAGCATGTGATTGACTCTACTTCAGCCTTGTAGGCTCCCTTCAAATACTGGATTATCTATGGGGTCTCCATGCAACCTTCTCTTCTCCAGGCTGAACAGCCCCAACTTTCTCAACCTGTCTTTTTAAGGAAGGTACTCCAGTCTGCTTATCAGTTTCATGGCCCTCCTCTGGACTTTCTCCAACCCTTCCATATTCTTATGTTGGGGGCACCAGAACTGTACACAGTACTCAGGTGGGGGTCTCACAAGGGCAGAGTAAAGAGGGAGAATCTCCCTCGACCTGCTGGTCATGGTCCTTTTGATGCAGCCCAGGATTCGTTTGGCTTTCTGGGCTGTGAGTGCACACTGCTGGCTCATGATGACTTTTTTGCCAACCGTCACCCCCAAGTCTTTCTCCATAGGGCTGCTCTAGCAAGTAGCTTACTTAATAACATGGTCTAGTTGTATTCGTGATTGTCAAGATGAAGAATAATGAAATAAATATGGAGCTTTACATGAATGCTATGATTCAAATAGATTTTTCTTTGGAATTGAAATAAAATATCCAGACTTTCTAGTATTAGAAATGTACCATATGAATCTTTTCTGCTGAGTCTAATTGAGTGTTGCTCATGTAACAGCTAGATTTTTCTTAGTAAGTGCTTAAAAAGATGGTCAGATTGCTCTTTTAAATTAAGCCTGCTAAGAATTTATAATATCTAGATTGGTGTATTTAAAAGTCTTAAATTTTCATCTCCATTACTACACTAAGAAAACAGGATGAAAGCTTTTATGTAAATGTGTTATATCCATACAGTGCTCAGAAGAAACCATCTCAGCATTCAGCAATGCCACTCTAATCACAAGTGTGAAATGTGAAAAGCGAATCATGTACAGAGCTAGGGATGCTGAGAAAAAAGTATGAATGCACTGGTTTACCAATGGTAACATCAGGCCTAATCAATAGCCTGATAGGCAGATAAACTGCTTGAGAGACATAAAGCAGTTTGTCTATCCAATAAAAACATCTGTGTTTTTCTTCCTTTTCACTGACTCTAGAATTTGCCCAGTTCCTTGGGGATTTATCAGCTCTTGACCCTTCTCCAGCCTTACCCATCTGTTCTGAGACATTCATTAGCCTCTAGGATCTGACTCTGTTGTTGTCTTGCAAATCACCCTTCCTCAGAAATATTATGGAAGTAGCATAATAAGAAAAAAAATGTTGGAAGGTGCTAGATTTTAGAGAAGCAAACAAGCTTTAGGCAGGTGATGCTGAGGGAAATAGCTCTGATTATTTAGTAAAAATGTTTATACTGTTGTAGGAAACGGTGTGTTCCTTTTATAAAATTCTTTTTTAAAGATTGAAGTGGTCATATTGTGAAAGCAAGCTCAAACTTGCTTTGAGAAGAGTAGAAGAAAATAATAGCAAGAAGTTTTTATCATCTCTTCTATGGGTTAGGTTTGTTACAGTTGGTGGGGATCTCTTGCTGTTTATGCAATAGTTATCGCCTGTGGTAAACTGTGTTTGCATATCACTGCATGGCCTAGATTGGAAGAGACCTTAAAAGATCATCTAGTTCCAACCCCACTGCCATGGGCAGGGACACTTCCCACTAGAGCAGGTTGCTCAAAGCTACATTCAGCCTGACCTTGAACACTTCTGGGGATGGGGCATCTACAACTTCTTTGGGCAACCTCTTCTGGTGTCTCACCACCCTCACAGTAAGGAATTTTTTCCCAATACCTAAATCTAAACCTACTCTTTTAGTTTGTAGCCATTCCCCCTCACCCTGTCACTACATTGCTGTTGTAAAAAGACCCTCTCCATTTTTCTTGTAGGCTCCCTTCAGGTACTGTAAGGCCACAATCAGATCACTCTGAAGCCTTTTCTTCTCTGAACTGAACAAACCCAAACTCCTTTTGTTCTAGGAGAGGTGCATGCTTACTGTCAGAATACATCTTGGTTCCTACTTTATCTGGGGGGCAGAGCTGTTCATCTATACTGGCGCTGGAAGCAGTGAATTGTGGTAGCTTGGAGTGGATACCCTGGTTAGAGTGGCTAAAAGGAAATAAATTTTTCTAGCATTTTGGGGAGCTTTTTCTGTCTTACTGTCTCAAGATGCTGAAATCATGCCAAGGAGTCGTCATAAAATGTTAAGCTCTTCAAATACGCTCACATAGACATGTCAGTAGCCATAGTTTTGCAGAGGAGCCTGAGTGTTCGCATGGTTTGCATCAGGTTTAGCACATTTCTAGTGACTTGTATGCTGATTTTTAAATTCTCTCAAGACCTGAAATTATTTCTTACATAACTTTAAAAATCCTTCTGCATTAATACTTGTTCCTTGCTTGGGTCATTTGCTCAACATTTTAATGATTTATGTCTCTCGTGTAGATAGTAGCAGGTACAAAGATGTGTTTTAATGATATTCTACTGCATATTGTTCACTAGGGGAGAATATAAAGCAGGGAAAATACAAAGCATTGAATATGTGGATAGTTTTCAGTCTTTTTAATGATTCAGAGTCTTTGATCAATCACTGGTTTCTATTGCTGACCTCTGCTTCTGACCTTCCACTTACTTTACAGGTCAACAGTTCTATCAGCAACTGCATTTTGAATAATTTTGTTATTTGAGATCTTGAGATAGTGCTTCTGGTTTTGAAGATTTTTTTTTTTTTTCACGTGGTCCTCGATGAAAATTCAGGTTTTGTTCTACAATAAAAAATGGCACCTTGGCTACTGGAAGGAAAGTACTCTGAGAGTAGTGTACTGTACTGTCCACTATAGTGGGCATCAATACAATAACCTGGTGGAATGTACGCAGATTTCCAGTAGTTCCCTCATACATTGAAAAAAACACCTCAGTCCCACCCCCCCCCCCCCCCGTTCTCCATATGATGCATAGGAGTTTCAGTTCAAGTTTAATATGCCATTTTCCAACTTTTTTTTTCCTGTCTTCCCTCTCAAAAAGGGAAGGAACAACTCCCATATGCCCAAAGCATAGAAATTTCCATACCTAGTTATTTGGGAAATACTCAACTACATTTGATATGACTTTTTCTATTCAGTGGTGTTCTTTCTATTTCTTTCTTTATTCTGTCATTTTCCCATTTATACACCGGAAAAGTCTTCTGTGATGTATCCCTTCTAATGCATAGCTTCCTCTGTGAGCCATTTGGCTGGGTACAAGAGGGCCAGTTGCTTTAATCTCGCAATCAGAAGACTTTGTTCCTCTCACAGTGTGTTCTTGATTAATGCAAACTAATAATTGCAAACGCTACAGTGTGCAGTGTTACAACACCAAAAGTGATTGGCTGGCCTGCAGTTTGACAGGCTTTTCTTAGACTCAAGAAAGAAGGATAGAAAAATTGCATTTCAAAGTGTTTATCTCGCCAGAATTCCTAATTGTATTTTGACGCAATTATAGCAATGGCATTTAGTAGTGCTGTTGCTAAAGAAACATTAACATTTTGAATGCAGAGTTTTTTTCAAGGACAAATGTCTTTTTTGCTATTTTAGTTTTGAAGGTGGAAAACTAAAATTCTCAAGCACACTAAATCTTTTGAGTGTGTTAAGTTAGCATTAATAATAAAATATGACCCTGAATAATACCAAGTGCAGATATGGGAAAGATTTTTCCTCATTTTTCAAACGTGGAAAATGAGGCATAGTATAGGGTTTCTTTGTTTGGTTGGGGTTTATTGTTTTGTTAGTTTTTTCTCTCCACTCATCAATGCCAGACAGACACAAACCCAGTATATTCTGTCAGTCCATTATTCCTGCTGGATTAATTCCTACTTGTCCCTTAAAAACTTGATCTAACTTTTGCTAGAACAAAAAACCCCAGCACTATTGACTTAAAGCTAGATCCGGTTAATGTTATCAAAAGAGTTAAATGAATCTGACTTTCTTATGGGTTTCTGCCCATCATAACAGTTAAAATAAAGAAGTGATGAATAGGGTAAGGTTTTTAGGAGGTAAAAATAGGAAGCTGTTAGCTACAGAGTGAGTGAACAGTTGATAGTCACTGATAGTGTGGGACTGTGCTCCTAGTTCCCTGTATATATGCTTTTAGCATACCTTAAGTAGAAGATGACATTTTTATTTCGAACAGTGAGCTGCTTTGTGTGAAAAGTGCTTTTGTACGCATGAGAAATGTTGTGAGGAAATTATTGCAGAGTGAGAGCACCATGCCATGTAGCACACTAGCTTTCCCCTGGAGATAAGAACTTAAAAGGTGACTGCAAAATTCATATTACTGTTTTTACTGTTAATAAATAAAAAAGATATTTTCCTCTTAGTCAGCTGCAGACCAATGTGTAAACAGTGTTGAATCAGAAGATGAGTCTTTGTAGCTTTTTGATTATGATTAAGTCAGTCTCTGTCTTAAGCTAAGAAAACATACCTACTATTTGGCTCCTGTTCACAACACTGACCTTAGGGTGGAGGGACCATATGTCCTATTTGTGACTGAGCTTTACTGGTGAATATTGTTGTATACTCTGATTGAACTGTAATAATGACAAAACTGTCTAGCTAAAATCTAAAAGAAATGGGGGTAGGAAAAGCAGTAATGAAATAAAATTTTATATGTTTACTTATGAAGTGAATTAAAACCTTTATATGCTTTGGTTTTGGTTTGCAGGGCCCATCTTGCTGGGATGATGTGCTGATTCCCAACAGAATAAGAGGTGTTTGCCAGTCCCAAGGGTGCAATGGAAATGTAGCGGTAAGATTTTGTCATGTTTCTCCAAGTACGGTGGTGCTTATAAGAATAATTCCTTGTAACGATTCTAACCATGTTAGAATTTCAGTAATAAATATAGAGCAACATGTATGGTACTTCAAAAGAGCTGTTCAGCATCAGATAATATACCTCTGATGTCTGGCAAAATGGAGGAACTTGAGTCAGTTGCTGTTTGGAATGAAGGAGGAAATAATTTTATCTCATCTTTTGCACTGAAGTAGAACTCTTACATTTTCAAGTATGCATAGGTTAAATGCATAATGTAATACTTAAATGTTTATGCCGATGCTCATTTTAGAATTATTATGTATATCATTGCCCTGAAAGCTTCAAATTTCCATGTCATCTTGTATATCAGAACTTGCATATCTGATTTCCAGGCTTTGTCCACAGGAGTGGGTTCTTCACAATGATTACTTTACAATCTGTTCTCTCATGTCTTTTTGCTGTTCTTTCCTTTGTTTCCTGAAGTTACATCAATGAAAAGACTGAGTAAGAAGGACCACAGGTATCTCAAATTCTTAATGAAGATTTTTTAAAACATTACTTATGTATACTTACATCTTTTCATGTATTAGATATTTATAGTATTTAATACTAAAAAAGTTTTAAGAACACTTCCTTCTCAGGAAAAAGCTTAATTTGAGTGTTCCTTCTGGACATAGATTTTTAAAGACAGACACAAAGCTTCATGTATATGGAAGGATTCTACTCATCAAAGATTTGCAGACTGGGACTACGTAAGCGCCTTTTTTCAGAGTTTCTCGCCTACTCTGGTGCAGCCTTCTCTTTGTCTTCCCTAGCAAGACAGTTGTAAAGGGGCATGTCTATACAGTTCCATAGATGTCTCCTGCTAGGCCACAGATGGTGTCAGAAAATACTTTTATTTAACTTTAGGCACCAAATGATTGTTTAGCAGCATGGGATTTATGGCTGTGTCCATGTGCAGCCAACAGAAACTGCAGCTTTTGGGCTTCTGCATCTTGATGTGCATCTTGTAATAGTGGCTCAGCCACGCTTTTGAAAGTGGTCAATGTTAGACATTCAAGTGGTATTCTCAGAATAGTACTGTTGGAGTGTAAAAGCAAGCACCACTCTGCCTCTGGACAGATTGGCTGTACTCTGCCCAGTTTTGATATGCTTCAGGAAATATTCTGGGTGCAAGAGGGTTGACTGCCTGACTTTGTTACCTGTTTGTTGTCGCTGTGCCACTTCTGTCCCTGGGAAGAAGTCCTTCCTGTTTTCTGTTCTTTCTTTAAGGATGACACAGGAACATGAAGAAGGTAAAACTTGCTTTTGACAAGGAGAGAAGTCTCCTTGGCAGGTATCCAGCTTGAGCCTTTATATACAAAAGCGTGTGATTAAAATTCCCAGTTTTGTCACCTAGTGGGACTTGGAGAATATATCTGACTGAATTGCAGCTACCAACTTATAGCTTTTGTTATCCAACATATTTGTGAAAAAGGTACTGAAATAACAACACTTTTGGCAGCCCTATCTCCTGAGCTACATCCCATTTTCTCAGTGAATCAGTTATTATTTTTTAAAAGCAAAAAACGAAGCAAGATAGCATCCTTTGTGAAGAGAGAAGACAAAAAGCATTGACCATAAAACTAAAATCTTAACTGGCTAATGTTGTGGCAAACAACCAATACTCAGTCAACCAAGTCCCATGACTCCAGTTGCTGTCAGTGCCTCTGGCAAGTTGCATATTTAGCAGAGCCAAGGATCAGTATTATCTTTCAGTAAGGCATCACGGAACAAAATTCAGGCGACATCTTATATTAGGCAGATATGTTGCAAATGCAGCTTCAGACCACCTGAACTACAGGGATAAGGCTGTTATTGAAAAAATGTGCTGCTACTTTATTTCCAAACTTTATTTCCAGACACACTTGCCCTTTATCAGCTACAAGCCACTATATCAATTGTGTTAGAACTGAACCAGACTGAGGTGCAAGAACAGTCCAAATTTTTATGATTTGCAACCACAATTGCTGGCAATATACATCTAGTCAAGAAAAATAAGGCAATGAAATGAATTTGACCATTTTTTTTTTTTTAATCTGCCTATCCAGTAGGTGACCCTGCACCAGGTATTTGAATTGATGGCTTCTTGAGGTCCTCTGGTTGCTGAAAGGCATTCTTGTGCTTTTGAATGGTTTGGTTTTTTTCAACCTCACTCACTGTGAAAACACATCATCACTTCCTGGGAAATCTTCCAGTTCAAAGGATTAAATCACTGAGACTTTTGTTTTGTATCTTGCTGAGTGGGAAATGATAGGGATCCTACAGATGTGCTTCCAGGATTTGTCATTCTTTTCTGCTCTGGTAATACAGTCTAACTGTTTGTAACAGAATAAAAAATAACCTTTAACTAAATCATAGGTTGAAACCTCTAAACTTTTCTTGGCTGTTACGATCTTTGAAAAATTAAATCATATTTTATCATAAAATATTCATTTTTGCATTTTCATGATAAAGTTTGTGCAATTATGTTTTGTCTCTCTTAAGTAGCTCCACAGTGTAAACGCTTCTTTACAGTGGTGTGCAATGAAGAAGCTTTGAAGCTGTTAGTTGTAAGTTATCAACAAACTGCAAATACTGCTGTGTAAGGGGGGAAAAAAAAAAGATTGCTCCATTATTTCTCCCCAAGACATGTTTTGCTTAAAATTGTTTTTTGTCAGTTTTAAATTCTCATAAACACCAGTTCGCATCATACCTTCAAAAGGTAATTATATTTTCCTTTGAATACTAATTTATTTTTATTTTGATATGACATTAGTCTCTGACAGAAATTACAGACTTTAATTCTTTTGGTATCAAAAATGTAAATAGAGTAGTTGACAATATGAGAAAACAATGGAAATCAAATTTCAGTTCAGTTAAATAAAATTTTTCAAATATTGCCAGAAGATATGATTATCTTGATGATAAATGCACTGCGATTCGATGTGTTCTAATGTACTCCCAAATATGAAATGTATCTCCTTAATTTTTTGTGGGTGCGCTCAAAATTTTCATATGATCTAGTCTCTGTGCTTTATTTGTGAATTCAACTACTTTTGAGCTTGTAGTGAGGGAAAAAAGTATTTTGTAAATAGTTGTAATTCCTAATTATGATCAAAAGAATTGCAAGAGAAATAAATATAAAAGGTAACCTTGCAATTGTAATATCTTAAAATATGCCTGAATTCCAACCGAGAAATTGGAGAACCTGGAACACTGGATATTGGTCCCATGTGCTGCCTGGGATACTTCCCCACAGCTTCTTTTCATATTCATTTTGATTGTAAGCTGTTACGCCACAGCCTCGGTTAGTGGGCTCTTGAGAAATTGTGTGCTGTAGCCAGAAATACAAAAAGTTACAAAGACAGGTGAAAATGGCTAAACAGAGAATCTGGATCCTGGAAAGGTAATGAGCAGTGTTCATTTCAGAGATTTAATGTTAGACTAGTTTATGAAACAAAATGAGTAGTCAAGTGCTTTGAGAAACAGTTAACAAAATACACAGATTGTCCAAAGCAGAGCTCAGTGTTGGGTTTTTTTCATAATAATTACAGTATATCAGAAACAATACATTCATTCTGAACTTCTGCAGCTTCAAAAAGATGAAATTGGTGTGAACACTTGTGTTGCTGCAATTGTAGAACACTCAAGTCACTTTTAAAACAAACTTTAATTATATTAATTAGAAAACGGAAGAGTCTACTTTAGCTGATTGACACATTTTAAATGAGGATCAAATTGGAGTATTTCAAGCTGTTTCACAAATTAGGACCATTCACTAAATGAGAGAGAACTTTGTACTTTTGGTGGCTTTCTCAAAAAACTTTCAGCCAGAAGCACTGTATGTAGCTGCGCAGGTATGGTTGGAAAGAGGTGTGGTTCTGTGAATTTGCAGATACTTTTCTCACATGAGCATAATTTAGTTACAGCTTAGAGTCACAAAATCATTTAGGTTGGAAAAGACCTTTAAAAGCATCAAGTCCAACTGTTAACCTCGTACTGCCAGGTGCACCACTAAAACTTGTCTTGAGGGTATTTCTGGTAAAATTTTTGTGGATTCATGCTTGTCTTTACAAGTCATCAGAAAACACGTGATACTAAATGCTTTATTCAACCTTTCCTTATTCAAATGAGATATTACTGAAGGAGTGTTCTTGTTAGACTCAAACTTTTACCGGTCTCTAATATACATACAGAACATTTTTGTTTATCGTTCAATGAAGTGAATTTCTGGTTGCAAAGAGGGCTATTCTACTTCTGTATATAAAAAGGCTATTACATTTTCTTTCTCTTTTTAGGCTTATGCCTAAAAAAGTCATCAAGAGCCATACAAATAATATGCCTCTTTTCATAGGTAGACAGAGAACTGTGACACCACTGTAAAGCACTGAACTGGTGATTTCATGGGAATTAGCTACACATCAATCCTACACTCCAGTGAACATGCATCAGTTTCTGATTGCCATGTCTTCAAGGCAAAATATAGGGCAAGTGGTTTTGAACTTTAGAAACCTGTGGAAAAAGTACTAATGTTCTGTTTGTGTTGTTGGGATTCTCACTTGATGCACTAAACCAGTTGATGTAGATTAGAAAATCTCAGAAATAATAATGAAAATGTTAAAGACAATTATAGGTTAGATATGGCTTAAGGTATTGGGAATAAGGAAAAATGAAAACCTGATGAAGACTGCATCAAATGTCCTTCATCAAAACTGAATAGCAATTTATCTCTTCTCCATTCCCCAGTTAGGCTTCAACAAACCATTTCTGAAAGAAGCAGGGGGACTTCTGTGAACTTTTACAAGCGGTTCTGTGCAGGGCTAAGAGTTAGACTCAATGATCCTTGTGGGCCTCTTCCAACTCAGCTTATTCTGTGATTCTGTCATCTCTGAGTACTGGATTTTCTTAAATATCAAACCTTATAGCAATCTCCTGTGTCCAGAGCAAAGATTTATATTCCACTTTTGAGCATA